GACAACCTCTGAGAAAGGGATCAGATGAAAGATTTTTTTTAATGAAAAACATGCGTCATGGGATACGTTACAGTACTACAGAGCAAATATTGTAATATCAGGAACATGCTCTGGAACCCAACAAGATTGAATCAGGTCCTCTGGATGGACTTTTCTGTCACAGCATGCATCACGCTGCCTATCACGGTGTGCTAAGATTCATAACTGGCTGTAACTACCGTACCCACCACTCTATTCATTGGTTAACTGGTCATCATTAACTTCACACAGACTCTCACACTGGTACGTTTTCATCTTTAAATCACTCCTTTGTCTGTTGCTGCCGTCTTACATCTCCTCCTATGCTGCTCTCAGGACATTATTACCTGCAGTGTTCCCTCAGTGTAGACTGAATTTGGCAAAAGGGCCTTCTCCTCCTCTGCTCCTGCTTCCTGGAATATCTTGCAAAAAGATCTGAAGCTCTTGACCTTGACCTAAGGGATTTTAAACAACTGCTAAGTTCAGGGCAAAAACCATTGCAGACATGTTCCTGTTTTTAGTATTTTACATCGATTTATAATGTAGCTGTTTTTCTTTAGTTTTTTATATCATTTCTTTTATTTACGTAAACATTTTTTATGTGTTTATATGAAAAATGTTGGATTGTATACCTGGATTATTGAGCATGGACTTTGTTGTTTTCAACCAGTTTGACAAGATTGTCAACAAGGAAGAGAGTCGGCACTGGAGCAGGGGGCGTACCAAAGAGACCATCTTATCACAAACAGAACTGGTTTGTTCCACTTTGGAGTAAGCTGTTGGGGGAAGAATCAGTTTTGTTATGCGTTTCCTTGACTGATGAAGCCTTCCGGACCGATGGCAAAACATTTCAGCACAATAAAAAAGAAACTGTCCAGTTGACCTGACTGAAAAATGTTGGATTGTATACCTGGATTATTGAGCATGGACTTTGTTGTTCTTTTATATGATTGTTTATTGTTGTCTGTACCTCATCTGTGTTCTTTGTTTACAACAGGTCTGTCTTGTAAAGGAGTCCTCGAGACTCAATGAGACTAGCCTGTATAAATAAAGGTTCAATGAATGTTTTTCCCACTGAGTATTGCTAGGAAAACACTTTTAAAGAAATAACTTTCCTGGTTCCCACAACATGCTTTAGCATGCAAATGTTTTGGTCTTTGCACCACATTATTTCTGGCGGGAAATGGGTTTTATCTGAGACACATGGATAGTAGGAAGAACGTTCCTAAAGGTAGGGAACTTGAAGTCCATAGAAAAAGGATTGATGAGTTTTTGTTTATTTCAAAAAGACCAATACATTTCAGAGCAAGTTTTTTAGAGGAATGTTTAAGAAGTATATCATGGGACGCCAACCAGATTTTCTGACCTGAATTATACCGATACTGATGATCCTCCAGCAATTAGTCATTTGGGGGCCGAGATGGCGTAGGGGCAGGGCAACTGACCCAGGACCCCAAGGTCCTGGGCTCGATCCCTGGTCATTGCACATCTGGTGGTGTCTCTGAGCAGGATACCATATTCCCATTTGCTCCCCGGGTGCCTTCCATAGCCGCCCACTGCTCCACCTGGTGATGGATGGGCTAAAAGCAGAGAGCCGATTTTGCCATTGTATGGGAACATACAAGGATGACAATACATACACATTATTATTATTTGACAATTTTGTTCTGCAGTTAACTGTGCAGCTTTAGTCTGACATTATTTTGTTGGTAATGTCTCGGATGGGGTTGGATGGAGAGGACAGCCACCTTGTTCTTCAGAACTGGGAACAGGGGAGTTCGATAACTCAAGGGGGCTTCAAAGAGGGTAAAACCTGTGGCAGCTGAAGTCCAAGTAATCATCCAGAATAGAGTGGCAGCATTACCACCAGGGTGCACCAATAACTGTGTACACATCATTCGCCACTTAGAACAGTAGTACCAAGTCCTGGTCCTCGAGGGTCACTATCCTGCATGTTTTAGATGTTTCTCTGCAGTGACACACCAGATTTGAATGAAGGAGCTATTAACAGGCTTCTGGAGAATTCAAAGCCATGATGAAGAGCAGTGAAACAACTAAAACATGATAGTGGCTCTCAAGGACCAGGACTGGGCACCACTGACTGGTAGGAGGGGAAATGTTGGAAAAGAGAACGCCTGGGATCTTGACACATGTCTGACCCAGTCTTTAGGGTAAGTAACCCTTGGCTTCTATGCAAATGACAATTTAAGGCAAAGCGATAACAGTGTACAGATTTAAAAAACACAATTTGAATTAATTTCTATATTCTTTTAGATTGAGGTTTGTTCTCGTCTCTGCTTGGACTAGCTGTTTATGCGAGTCCTTCAAAAGAACTTCTGTCTGATATTCTACAGATAACACTTTGAGTGATTTCTACTGCAGGTAAGATGTTTATTACTGATAACAGCTCCAAAGAACACCACTTCAAAACTCCTTTAGCACGTCTTCAATGTCAGTGCAGAACAAAGCAGCAAGCTCTCATGAGTCCTCAGGTCCTTGCTGGTCTTCCAGTCACAGAGCTGAAGTTCTCAGCTGAACAAATTGAACTAGATGTAATAGATCATTAGGAACAGTGATCTGGTTCAGTTCTTCTGTGGTTTAATCATTTTCTGAGCTGTAGAGACCAGGAGAGTTTCAGGTTAGTTCTTTAATTATTAGCATCTACATGTTGCTATCTGTGGTCAAATGTTTCTCAACAAACCACTGTCATGGTTGTTTTGTGCTGCCAGTCTGAGCTATAATAGACGAAAATTACTTATTTTCTCAGGATTTAAGGTTAAAACTGTCAGCTAAAAATATAAAGATGTAGAGTTTTTACATCACATACTTGGCTGTAACAGATTCAAATGAAACATATTTTTTATGATCAGTCATGTTTTATAATTTATAAAAATGTTAACACATCATGACAGAAATGATTTTGGCAGCACGACGGCTCAGTGGTTAGCACTGTTGCCTCACAGCAAGAAGGTCATGGGTTCAACCCCCGGTTGGACCTGGGGTCTTTCTGTGTGGAGTTTGCATGTTCTTCTCGTGCTTGTGTGGGTTTTCTCTTGGTACGCCAGTTTCCTCAGGCCTCCCTTGCAAAAGAGATCTGTGATCTCACTGAGATTTGCCTGGTTAAATAAAGATTAATAAATAAATAAATGAGCTGGAGAGATGTTCTTGAAACAACAGAGCAGGTACGAGATGACAAGCCAGCTAATAACTGTGACCTGTGGGACTAATCAGTGGGCTGCAATCGCCTCTACCTGCTGCTGCCCTCACATTAACCTGCTGCTTGTTATTAACACACAGCTTAGGAGGAGAAACAAGATCAGAATGTCCCTGTGTGTGTGTGTGCGTGTGTGTGTGTGTGTGTGTGTGCAGTTTGGATGTTGTTTTTGAACTTCTTTATCTTGAGACAAAGCAGGTATTATTTTTCTGCAGGCTTCAGTGCAGCTCAGATTGTGTGTGAGCAGCTTACTGTTCTGAGTTGTAAGCGACACTAAGACCCCACGAGTCAAGTTGTTTCTGAGAGGTCTTTAGGTTTGGGCGTATATGTTCGTTAAAAAGAAAAAAAAACGAAAGGCATGTTAAATGCATAAGAAAAATTCAATTTTTAAAAGTTAAGCTGACATTTTTATGTGGGAATAAAACAAAATGGGAAAATAATCCTGTTTGTGTGTACTTGAAGTTTTTGTCATTAATGCCCATTCATCTATTATCTTTTACCCGCTTCTTCCTTTTAGGGTCGTGGGGGTCACTGATGCCCATGTCCAACTATCACTGTGTGAGAGGCGGGGGACACCCCGGACAGGTCTCCAGTCCATCACAGAGACACAGAGATAATTGAGACAATCATTCACTCTCTCACTCACACCTAGAGACAATTTAGAGTTACCAATCAGTCTAACATGCATGTTTTTGGTCTGTGGAAGGAAACCAAAGTACCCGGAGAAAATCCACGCATGCACGGAGAGAACATGCAAACTCCACCCGGAAAGGACCCCTGGCCAGGATTTGATCTGACAACCTTCTTGCTGAGAGGCAGCAGCTCTACCAAATATGCCACCATGTCACCCATGTATATAAGGTATATACCGGTAAGCTATACAAGTTATTTTAAACAAGTTTCTGAGTCAAGAGAAACTCTCAGAAGATTAAAAACTATTGAGATACAGTAGTTAGACAAGCACAAAGGAGATTCACTAGAATGTGGAAATTACAGAGGCATCAAACTACTGGAAGCTGCTCTGAAAGTACATGAAAGTGTAATAGAAAGGCAGATATAATAAAAATACACTCCAACCAGTTCGGATTCATGCCTGGAAAGGGCATGACCGATGCAGTTTTCATTCTCCAGCAGGTTCAAGAAAAAATCTTGGAGGAAAACACTAGCAGATACTGGACATTTGTGGACTTGGAAAAGGCTTTCGACAGAGTCCCGTGAGAGGTGATTTACTGGAACCTCAGACAGAAAGGTATTAAAGAGAAGCTAGTTTGGATTGTTAGTTTCAAATACGACGGTGTTAAAATAAAAATCAGAACTGGCAAAGGCAGCACAAAAGCATTTGAGATTAAAGTTGGCATTCATCAGGGTTCATGTCTCAGCCCACTGTTGTTTATTATTGAGATGGACCCAGTTACTGAGCTTATTAGGAGAGAAGTGATGTGGGATATATTGTATGCAGATGACCTAGTTGTGGCTGGAGATTCTGAAGTTAATCTCCAAGATAGTTTCAGACGGTGGCAACAGGCACTTGAGAGTAAAGGTCTGAAAAGAAACGCAGCAAAAACAAAGACCATGATCTGCTTGAAAGCTAACAAGACCTAAACAATTACTGATAATAGAGAAAATGTAATGAAGCAGGTCAAAAACGTTCAAGTATCTGGGGTCGGCGACAAATGCCAAAGGAAGCTGCGAAGAAGATGCTAAATGCAGAATTACTGTGGCGTCGCTAAAATGGAAGGAGTTGACAGGAGTGCTTTGCGACAAAAGGATGCCGACTCCTATTAAAGGGAAAGTGGACAAGGTGATGGTGTGCCCAGTCTTGCTTTGTGGAGATGAGGTATGAACATTAAAGATAAAGGAAGAGGAAGGCCTGAACTCTGAGGCCGTAACACTCCTGAAAAGAACAAATGTGAATGATAAGTGTGATTCTTGGAGTATCCCTCAAGTATAGACGGTGAAATGACGATATCAGAATAACTCTTGCCATGGTATGCATCACGGATAAGGGCTATTAAACGCAGAAGTTTTCAGTTAACGAAGCAGAGGATAGCAGAAGAAGAGGTGGATAGATATGATTCAGCAGGATATGAAGATACTCTATCTCACAACAGTCGATACACGAAACGGAGCAAAATGGAGAAGGAGAATCCATGTGGCTGACCCTGATCCGAAAGGAGCAGGTCCTACAGCCTGAATGAGATATACAGTATATGTATGTATGTGGTCCAACAACCCATTTTAGTGGATGTTGAATGTGTGCCTTGTGTGTTTTTTCCTGTTGTTTTGTCTTACTTGCGATCAGCTGAACCAGGAGAGGTATGTCATTTATTTTCCAGCCCCAGACAGGATAATGGGGGTGATGAAGTAGAAAAGAGTTTGGGTATAAATGATAACGAAAATGAAGGCTGTCTATGCTTTTGTCAGTTTGATCAGGACACATTCAGGGTGACTCAAATGGTTTTTAGAGAAATGTTTACATTACCTGTTGTAGATAGCTTTTTGAACAACCTCAGTTTGAGGAAATTGAATTTATTTCTGAAAAGTCTGATGAGCTAAAAGCTTGTAGCCCAAATGTGGCCAAGAGCAACGTGCTGCTGTCTTAAAATAGCTCCAATCTCCAACATTTCAAAGCAATGACAGCAGGTATAACTTAAACTTTTACATATACGTAGTTTCACACAACATGGTTATTCTATCATAATTCATACAATATTCCTGCTGGAAATACCTAAGGCAGTACCGGAAGTGCTGCTGCTGCTTTAGACATTTTTTGGTACTTTATAAAGTACCATTTGCAAGAACTGCTTTTGAAATTGGCGGATTGGATTTGATTGAATATGTCAATAATCTACTTTAGTGTTGATACTGTCAATCCAGTCAGAATTAAACTACATTTTATAAACTACTGTAATTCTCTGAACAGATGTTCTCTTTAAAGAGCTACAGTATCTACAGCAGGCATGGTATTGAATGCTTACATCTCTGTTTAAATTGATTTGAACTGCTTGTGACCAAATCCTTTTCACAAATCACCTTATTGTTTGCTTCAACTGTGCTACTGAAAAACTTTATTTTATATATGATTTATGAATCAGCCAAACAACATGTTTGTTGCTGGAATGTCCAAAAAAAAAACACATACAGACAGACAAACAGACAGACAGACAGACAGACAGACAGAGAGACAGAGAGACAGACAGAGAGACAGAGAGACAGACAGACAGACAGAGAGACAGACAGATGAAACAGCTGCAGCATGGACTGTTATAAAGTTGTATAGCTTCAACAGGAGTTCAGACATTTCCCAGACTGTAATGAGCAGGGTGGTGGATTTGTTTGGTGTGTGGTCTGCTCCGCGTGAGCAATGGATGAAGAAAAGGAGGACAACAGGAGGAAGAGGAAGGAGAGAGGGAAAAGAACTAGCTTTACACATTTGATTACAGGGCTTACTTTACAACTGGACAGTTGTTTGGAAAAGGTGTGTGCACTTCATGGACACACCTGGAGTGAAGGTATTTTGACATTCACAGTCAGGCACGTGTTACCAGCCTCAGTTTCCCATGTCTGCTAAGTTCCCAAAGTCATACAAACCTGTTTGTATTTTAACCTAACCCTTTTTCATGTGACTGCTGGTGGAATCGAACCCCCAACTCTTGCATTGGAGGACGACTGCTCTAACCACTCAGCCACAGCTGCCCTTTTTATAATAATATTTATTTTTTATTGTTCTTTATTGACGGCAGCACGGTGGCGCAACCGGTAGAGCTGCTGCCTCTCAGCGAGCTGGTCCCCAGTTCAAATCCCGGTCCGGGGGCCCTTCTGGGTGGAGTTCGCATGTTGTCTCCGTGCATGGTTTTCTCCAGTTTCTTCCCACAGACCAAAAAAACATGCATGTTAGGCTGATTGGTAACTCTAAATTGTCCCTAGGTGTGAGTGAGAGATTGAATGGTTGTTTGTCTCGTTTGTCTCTATGTGTCCCTGTGATGGGCTGGAGACCCGTCCAGGGTGTACCCCGCCCCTCCCACAGTGATTGCTGGACATGGGTACCGGCGACCCCGTGACCCAAAAATGGAAGAAGCGGGTAAAAGATAATGGATGGATGTTTTTGTTTGGGTTTTTTTGCAAAAGAAAAAAAAAATTTCTACACGTTGAAAAAAGTAGTTAGTTTTTCCTGAATTTAAGCAACGACTCAGATTCATGCTGTTTTGGTCAAAAGATGCAGGAGCCACTTGAGCGGGGCTGAAGAGCCCCAGGAGGCTTCAGGGACTCAGTTTGCAGACTTCTGGACTATTCACTCCTCAATCTGGTCAGAAACAACATATTTTCCAAACAGAAAGCTCAACAGGTAAGATACCAGCTGTTCATAACTTCTCTACAAAACCCCACTTCTAAAAAGCTGTGTCCCTTTATTCCAGTAAAACATTTGGTTTCTTTGGAATATATATATATATTTTAAATTGATGAAGTTGTCAGTGAATCTATGATCATTTTGGTGATCATATGAATAAAATAAAACAGGAACCGATATTTAAAAATAAAACTAAAGTCCTTAACGTGTCTCGTGTGATTTTATTCAAATCATTATTCAAACTTTAAATAGTAAAATCTGAGTCTTTGTGCCTTTAAAACCAAAACTGGCCGCGCTGCAAACCGAGCCACCTGCTCCAGGCGCACCGAACCATCCCCAACACCCCCCTACCCACAAACACACACACACACACACGCGCGCGCGCGCGCCACGGATCAGACGTGTCCAGTTGGACAGGTGGAGGCGCGCGCACTGATGGCAGAGGTTCTGCGCTGCGCCATCTGAGAGACGCGCCCGGGCCGAGTGGAGCGTCGGAACCGGGAGGACGAGCAGAAGGGAGGGCTGGCTGAAGAGGAGAGAAACACCCACACCGGACTGGTCTTATCCTAGGAGGAGTGAGAGAGGAGGAGGAGGAGGAGGAAGAGGAGCGCACCGGGAGGCAGCAGACACACATTTTAGTATTCGCTGGCTTTCGGTTTGGAGATTAAAGGACGCGCTGAATCCATGAGTGCAGAGGTAAAGACCTTCTCATCTACTCTAAACATCACTCTCAGGTGTTCTCAACGCGTTCTCTTACTGAGAACAAATCTGAGCTCAATGGGAACTTTAATAAAACCAGTAGCTGTCTCAGGACGATCTGTGAGGACTTAAAACCAGTTTCCCTTCAGAATAACTCATTTTTCTTTTGAACTCTGATGAAAGTGTACGACTTAAATATATATACAAATACATGTAAAAACTTGTTCCAAATAGTTGTAAAACTAAACTGCATTAAATTCAAATAAGCGTGTGTGGTTTTAATTTACAAATTCTTCAAAAGCAAAATTGCAATTTGGATGTCAGGGAAAGTGAGCGCAGAGGAACTTCAGTATGAGCTAACAAAATCTAAAATACACAAAAAATAAAAAAAAACTGTGAAGCTTTTTTTAAATGCATTTTTCATCTCTGAGTCTGCTGATGAAAATAATCGTTCTTAAAGTATTTAATGTTTATTAATGTGCATGCACTGATCTCTTTGACACTTGGAGACCAAAGAGCATCTCTCCAGGTCACTGCTCCTGCGTTCAAACTGAAACAAGTTCAGCTCCTTCTGTTCACGAGACTCTCCGTCAGGTGTGCTCCTCAGAGAGAGAAGACGACTTTAATGTGTCCTCAGATAACGAGGAGTGGCGACTCGGTGAGGAAACAGAGCGCTGGAGAGGATGCGGAGAGCAAAAAGTAAAAAAAAAAGATGAGATGGAGGAGGGTGGGTGCTTTTATTCGTCAATGACACTCACTCATCAAACCTTCCCTCTGAGGACCTTCCATAAAACGCTTCTCCTCCATGCTGACATTTTGCTCCCCCCACTCCAATTCTTGTTCTGTCAGGCCTTTTGTTAATGTAATTTCTTCGTGCTCTCAGACAGAGTCCTCCAGTGTTCCCCCCTCAGTCAGCTCTGCGTAGGCGAGAGCCTCCGTCGCTGTCTGTGGTCAGTCCAGACTGCTGCTCTGTGTAAAACAAGAGGGATTTAAGACCTGAATAAATGATTCCAGATCAGTATTTTGGAGCTGTGTGGGCAAAATGGGTCTGAAGTCCCCCTGCAGCTGAGTTCTTTTCACTTCCTTTTTAATTCTTATTTAGTTTTTGCTTTGTTCATTCGCAGGCTAGAGGACTATAAGGATGTTGTCAACAGGAGAGGTCAGGTGGAGCTTGTGGGCTTCACTGGTGACACTGGCCCTTGTTTCCAGTTACCCCAGTAGTGTTCATGGTCAGGGTAAGTCCTCCTCTTCTTGAATCATCTCTTATGTTTTACGCATTCAGTCATCTATTGTTTTTCCAACCACCCTCTCCAATATCTCTACATTTGCCTCAGTTTCATTAACTTCCTGTTTCTTCCACACCTTATCACAGCCATCGTCTTCTTTTTGTTTTGATATAAAGCTCAAATAAAATCACACTCCTGATTAGATCGCCCTGGTAGCACGGCAGCCCTTTGACCCTGCTGCCTGCACATTGTGATTCTATGAATGTGTTGGAACGCACGTCTTTGCGTTCGTTACCCCCACAACCTGTTTACCTTAATTTTAGACTGTTTTTGTGTTTGTGAGCTCTAATGTGATGATTTGTATGTTTGTGAAAGCTGCATCTGGCTTCTAGTGTCATGTCTGGGAGACTCCCACCATTTCTCATCCTAGTTTCTGCTTGTGTTTATGTTCATCTGTAACTGCGCACATTGCTCGCAGGGTGTGAGTTATTAGAGCAGAAAAACTGCAGGTTGTGGTTAAAGGATCACTGCACAGAATTCTGCGCTTGTTTAAAACAGATAATGCAGTCATTGTGTTAGTCCATGGTTTAAACCTTGAAGATACTCTTCAGGAAGTCGCAGCACTTTGTGTGACTTTTGTGCTTTAAGATGTTGAATGAGTTGATGTAGGTTTGTTTTGTGAAGTGTCTGAATGTTTGTTTGGAACAATAACAAAATATCTCGTAAATCTGTGGACAGATTTGAACAAAACTGCCAAAAAGTGTTGATGTTTATATACAACTGATTAAAAATGTGGAGCCCTTTTCATTCAAGATGGTCGCCACAGCAAAGACTACCGGAAGTTCAAAAATGACTAATTCAGCCGGTTATATAGAAATTTTATCCTAAAATCTGATGTGGTACTTTATTGTTAAAGTTTGACCAAAATGGCTATAGCTCTGTCCTTTATCACCATCCATCCATCCATCCATCCATCCATCCATCCATCCGTCCGTCCGTCCGTCCGTCCGTCCGTCCGTCCGTCCATCCATCTATAATCTTTACGCACTTCATCCTTTTCGTGTTGCGGGGGACACTGGTGCCCATGTCCAGGAGAAGCAAGGACACCCTGGACAGGTCTCCAGTCCATCACAGGGCCACATAGAGACAAATGAGACAAACAACCATTCACTCTCTCTCTCACACCTAGAGACACTTTAGAGTTACCAGTCAGTCTAACATGCATGTTTTTAGTCTGTGGGAGGAAACCGGAGCACCTGGAGAAAACCCACACATCCACGGAGAGAACATGCAAACTCCACCCAGAGAGGCCCCCGGTCGGGATTTGAACCAGGGTGACCTGCCTGCTGAGAGGCGGCAGCTCTAACAACTGTGCCACCGTGCTGTCCCTTTCTCATCATAAGATATTTTTATTTATTTGTTTATTTATTTATTTATTTACATCAACCATATTAAAATGGTAAAGAACAATAAAGAACACTAAAAAAAGAAACATTATAAAAGGGCGGCTGTGGCTGAGTGGTTAGAGCAGTCGTCCTTCAATGCAAGAGTCTGGGGTTTGATTCCACCAGCAGTCACATGCCGAAGTGTCCCTGGGCAAGACAATGAACCCCTCGTTGCCTCAATGTGTCCCATCAGCGTTTGAATGTGATAAAGCTCTGATTATTCTTTGTATAGATCTAGTAGAGTGCTGTATGAAAGGGTAAATGAGGACACAGATTGTAGTGTAAAGAGCTTTGAGTATCTTGAATAGATATAAATATGTTATATAAGTACTGTCTGTTGTCATATGTCATTTAATGTTGCACAGTGGACTAATCCAAATGGGTTGAGTGATTTTAGCAGATAGACCATTGCTGTACAAAGTATTGATAAAGTCCTCGGTGGCTTTTTTGTTAAATAAGTTAATACCGATTTCACCACCAATAATCATGAGTTTATGGCTTTATTTTAGTTTCAAAGCTTAGCATGAAAGGCAGAGGGTGATATGCATTCCTTCGAGGAATTCTAGGCCTTAGTTTATTTTTATTATGTTGACAAATATTTTATCCTGCCTGTGTGATCATCTCTGTCAGCGTTGACTGCCGGTGAACAGAAATAAGAAATAAGAAGTGAGATAGAGGTACGACAGGCAAAAAGAGGCTGGGATCGAATCCCAGTGAACTACAGCAGAACATGAACAAACAGACACCGCGGGAGATGCTACCCTGTTCAATCCCTTCATTAAGGGGAGGGTGATAGGCATTAATTCTGGCGGGGTCTGTCTCTGTAAGCTGCAACATCTGGTCCATGGGATTTGAGCTGGAGGATTAAAGAGTGCAGGATGTTTGTATATACAAGCTGAAATGCCTCGCTAATGTCAGGAACACCCACCAAACACGTGCGTCAGTCCAGGAGGTGATAGTTATCCCCAAGCTGAGAGCTATAGCAAGGTGTTTGTAGTTGATTAAAAAAAAAACTTTAATGTCTTACACATCACTAATAAGTGTCTCCTAGAAAATCTGAACTCATGTAATTTATCTTTTGCTAAAACATTGATTTATTCTGCTTTCTTATAAAGAGCCATTTCCTTCTGTTAACATTTACTGCTTAAAGTTCTCACAGCAGACCTTTTCTGACAACGTGCCTTTCTCAGACATTCAGTCAATATTTATGTAAAGTTGCAGATGCTTCCGTAGGGATATTTTGTACATAATGTTAAAATAAGCATCCAAGCAGCTCTGTAAAGCTGCTGCAGATGTAGATTCACTCACTTTGTTTTTTATCCAACTTCAGCTGCTTCAGATTGTTCACAGACCTTCCGGGGTCTTTCTGTGTAATTTAAACACCTAAAATCTGTTGTAGATTGCAACCAGACACTACTTGTAATAAGTTATTGTAAGCTCCAGATTTTCTTTTCTGTGATTGAAGGTGTCAGTCAGTGCACCGACATGTTTTAAACAGCTCTCCTGTATGGGGTGTTGTTTGTAAAGTCACACAGTCAAAAATTAACAGCAATATTTTGGTTTATTTAGCCTTTCATAAGAAAAAAATAGTTTTTTTTCTTTTCAAAGTCATATTTTCAACATGTTATACATTTATAAATGTCATAGTTCACTAACTAAATATTTAATTTACAAGATAAATATTTAGTTTACAAACTAAATACTTATTTTAAAGTTAAATATTTAGTTAGCAAGCTAAACATTTAGCTCCATACAAAATATTTAGTTTACAAACTAAATTTTTATGTCCAAGCTAAATGTTTAATTTACAAACTAAATAGTTAACTTGAAGTTAAATATTTAGTTAGTGATCTGAATATTTAGGTGTAAATTAAATATGTATTTTCCAATCTAAATATTTAATGTCAGAGTCAGAGTCAGAGTCAGAGTTTCTTTATTGTCATTCGCACCTCATGTGGTACATGTGGTGGAGCGAAATTATGTACACAGGGTCCCAGTTACATCCAACAATAAAATGTATAAGAAAAACAGTAATAACATCTAAGATATGAACTAAGAAAAACATCAACTAAATATACACTAAGCACTCATAACATAAAACATTGAACATCACCACAAACATGAACATGAGTCTGTGAGCAGATGTGCACGCATGAACACAACAACATTGAAACAGATCAGCAGCAACATGAAACAGATCAGCAGCAACATGATATGGTTTTTCACTGTCATTATTCTAGTTAGAGATTCATGAGTCTAACAGCCTCAGGGTAGAAGCTGTTCCTCAGTCTAGTGGTTCTACACTTAATGCTCCTTAACCTCCTTCCTGAGGGGAGTGGGGCAAAAAGTGTGTGTGCTGGGTGGGTGGGGTCCTTCATGATGCAGGTGGCCCTCTTCCTGCATCTGGAGGTGTAGATGTCTGTGATGGTGGGGAGACTGATTCCAACAGATTTCTGTGCAGCCTTCACCACTCTCTGCAAAGCTTTTCTTTCTGCAGCTGTGCAGCCTCCATGCCACACATTGATGCTCGAGCACAGGATGCTCTCCACTGCACACCTGTAGAAGGAGGTGAGGACTGAGCTTCCCAGACCAGCTCGCCTCAGCCGTCTGAGGAAGTAGAGTCTCTGATGAGCTTTCTTGATCAGGCTGGTGGTGTTGTTGCTCCAGCTGAGGTTGTCATTCATGTGTACACCCAAGTACTTGTAGCTGGAGACCACTTCCACCGCAGATCCTCTTATGTTCAGGGGGGTGTAGGTGTTTTTGTTCCTTCTGAAGTCTACAATCATCTCCTTTGTCTTCTTCACATTGATGTGAAGGTTATTCTCTCTGCACCAGCTCTCCAGATGTTCCACCTCCTGCCTGTAGCTGGACTCATCATTGTTTGTGATGCATCCCACCACCGCTGTATCATCTGCAAACTTTACAATGTGACAGCCTGGATGGGTAGCTGCACAATCATATGTGAGCAGAGTAAACAGGAGGGGGCTCAACACACATCCCTGAGGAGAGCCAGTGCTGAGGGTTATGGTGGAGGAGGAGAGGTTGTGGATCCTCACTAACTGTGGTCTGTTTGTTAAAAAGTCTAGTACCCAGTTGCAGATGGAGGGGCTTAGTCCTAGTGTGGATAGTTTGTCCATCAGGGTTTGGGGGATCATGGTGTTGAAGGCGGATGTGAAGTCCACAAAGAGCATACGGACGTAAGAGTTTTTCTGCTCCAGGTGGTTGAGTGCAGTGTGGACCACAGAGGAGATTGCATCCTCTGTTGATCGGTTCTCACGGTATGCGTACTGATGAGGGTCCTCGTTGATGTTGATGGTTGTTTTGATGTGAGTCATGACCAGTTTTTCGAAGCATTTAGCGACTATCGGGGTGAGGGCCACTGGCCGATAGTCATTCAGACCAGTCACTGTAGAGCTTTTTGGGACTGGGATGATGGTGGCAGTCTTCAGGCAGGTGGGAACTGTCTCCAGGGTAAGTGAGGTGTTAAAGATGTCTGCCAGCACCTCACAGAGCTG